GGGGGGTTAGATTTATTTTTATCGTTTTCTTTCACTTTTAACTCACATTAAAATTATGTGGGGAACCATCGTGATTGTTATAGGCGTAACATTTCTATATACTGTTTTGTTTTTTTACAGGATGCAGTGATGCTGCACAGTTTCACCTTGAGACAACAGCTCCAGACTGCAAGACAAGGTAAGATTTGTCTGTGGAGGTTTTAGTGGCTAAGGGTACAACTTTGCTTTTCTAATTCCGGAAATATTCTTCTTTGAGCTTTCAATGTTACAGACCTTCCAAGTTTTTTCACTGTTGACAATCAGTGTTTTTGGCATATTTTGAACAATTTTAAAAAATTGTCTGCTGTTTTTAAATGTTCGTTTAATGGTTTGGTAAGCCCATGACTCTATGTAGACTGAATTCAGGTACCACAGCACCACACTGAGCAATGAAGGAAAAGTGTCGAGGGGAAAAGCTGAACATATCCATCAACTGCACCGCAAAATGTCCTGCCAAAGAAATATGAAGGCATAGACCGGAAGAATGTGTGTAGTAACCTGTTCCACCAAAGGAAAATTGATAATCTCCAGATGATGAGATTAACTCTTGTGTGCTTTATGAGAGGCAGCAGACTTGCCAAGTACTTTAACCAGAGCCCTCCAATTTGTTTAGCCTGTTGAAGAGCCCCAATCAGATTTGCATAAAAATCCTTTTTAATGAAAGAAGAAGAAAAAATTCTGTTTCCATCAGTTGTACGCAGTGTTTCATAAATCACATGGAAATATATTTATGTATTTGTAATATTTACATGGCTCACTGTACATTTATTGGTACTTTCGGTTTGTAACGTTGTCTTTTTCTACTTGGGCTGCTGTTTTTATTGCTGCCAATATTTTTAAGCCCAGCATATTTATATGTTTTCACCATTCTTCCTGTAAAGCCACAGGAACAAAATATTATCTATCTTATCTTATCTTACTGTTATTTCACCCCCGGAGGCGGTGCTACTGACTGAAGGGTCTTTCCCAAAGGGGGGACATTAACATGTTCTTCTGCTTAGTAAAATTGTAAAAATGGGCTGATTCCTAAATGTCATGCTCATAACTGCCTGAACTGTAACAGGGAACTGCTTCTTTTTCTTTCCTTATCATTACTATCGTCATTTTTCCTCTACTTCTTTTGTATGCTTGTCACACTCTAGTGCACCATGATGCTTTGATAGTCGAAGCCGACTTTGTGCTGTTGAAGCTAGTATGGACTTCTCTGTTGACATCCACCCCTTGGCGCTCATATGACCTTGTGCAGTTGCAAGCGCCATAAAACCTACTATAAATGTATTTATCTATGTATATGTATCTTTTCCATTGTAAACCAGAGTGCCCTTTTGGGTCTAATAAAAGTGTCATTTATTATTATTATTATTATTGTTACGTCTTGTTTTCTCTCATTGCCACACAGAGTTGTCTCACGCCTTGTACCAGCACGACGCCGCCTGCCGTGTCATTGCTCGTCTCATCAAGGAGGTCACCGCCGCTCGTGAAGGTATTGTCTTGTCATCATTTGTCTTAGTCTTTGTCATCATTTGTCTTAGTCTTTGTCATCATTTGTCTTAGTCTTTGTCATCATTTGTCTTAGTCTTTGTCATCATTTGTCTTAGTCTTATCATTGCTTGAGAACAACCGGTTAGACAGTTTTCATATATGGAGTTTTGGGTTGATGGGGTTTTTTCTTAATCCACTACAGGTTTAAATCATTTCGTTTAGCATACATTCATACATACAGTCAAACCTGCCTTAAAGGAAACCTGTGTAAAACGAAAACCTGTCTTAACGGAATCTCCCCGCTCCCCCCTTGATATATTCCTATTTAATTACCTGTGTAAAACGGAAACATGTCCAACGCGGAAACGGAAAGAAAAATCTGCTCCGTGGTCTTAAAAAAACTCTTGGGGGGAAAAAATCTCCCGCTCAATATGAACCATGAGTCAGTTCTGTTATAAGAGGGAGCATTTTGGCTGCTTTTTTGGGGTTAGTTTTTAAAATGAGATAGTCCTCTTTAGTTTTTTAATCTTCCTGTCCATTTTTCAAGGTACAAGCATACATTTGTTCAAATATCCAAGGCTGCAAATATATTGTTTTCATGGTCATACCCTTTCTATAAGATAATATTTTGATAAGGAAATCGAGTCTTAAAAAAAATGTTTAACAGATTAGTAAGTGAGGAGTACTACTGTAAATGTTATGGTAGCTCTGATAGATGTTGATGGTTTGACAGCTCTGGTGCTTCTTCATTCCTGTCTTACATCTATCGTCTTTATCTCCCCTCCTTTTTTGTGTTTGTTACTCTCTTCTAACACCTAATCTTCGGCACTTATATAACCTTATTGTGTTGCAAGTGCAATAAAATTCTTTCTAAAACTAAAAAAAAAGACTGCTCAAGTGTAATGATTTAATGTGGTTTGGGTTTTGATTTTTTTCAGCTTTGGCAACACTGAAGCCACAGGCAGGCCTGACAACCCCAGCCCCGGGCTACAACGCCCCAGCCCCAAACCCTGTAAGTGTTTGTCACGACACGTTGGAATCGGGCGCTCGGCAATTTTTGGGGCATGTGAAGTTATTGATATCATCTGAAAGCTGATTTATTTGCCTTGCTTCCAATGAAATATATATCCATCTATCTCGAATAGAACGCAAGATATTTGCGAATGAAGGAAGTGAGGTCGATTTTTTTCGGTGGTGAAATTAGCGAGAAAATGGCCGCCAAAGTTTGGTAACTCCAATAGATAAAGAGTCATTGAAAACAGAAAAATGGCATATTTTGTGCCTTTAATTAATGTTATTCAGGTTGAGCCAAAAAATAAAAATGTCCCAACTGGGGGATGGCACATTCAACCACATACCCCTGTACTAGTGGGAACAAATCTGGGTGGGGGGGGGGGGGGGGTTCCTTCAGTGAATAAAAAAACATGAGATCATGAACTTTTTGTGATTTTAGTAAGGTACCGTGACAACTTTTCCCGTATAGGAACAAACCAGTTTCATTAAAAAATATAAACCAGTGTACACAAGTTTTTTAAATGCACTGAAAATTGAAGTAGCCAACCTGGTACCCATACTAAAACTGAAGGTAATTTGCCATTTACAACAACAACAAAAAGAAGTTTCATTCAGATATCTAGATTCTAGATATAATATTTCACATGAATGATTGTCGGTCGTGGCAAGCTGGAAAATAATGGGGGGGGGGGGGGCAAAAAAACCTGAAAATTAATAAGCTGGGTGGGGGACGCTTATTGAATACCTTAGAGTGACTCATATCCAATGTTTCTGGTTTCAGGCCATCGCTGCCGATGCTGGTCCTGAGACTGCCACACAACCCGCTGAGGAGGCCGTCATGAGCGATGAAGTCATACAGAAGGTGGGTGTTTGCTGCTTTGCGTCTCTAGGTCTCTCTTTTTTAATTTTATTAGAGGTTTTATGGCGCTCACAACTGCATAAGGTAATATGGGCGCCAAGGGGTGGATGTCAACTGAGAAGTCCATACAGGGAATCAGACTTACTCTGCTCACCTCTCTAGCTTCAGCAGTACAAAGTCTGCTTCGACTGTCAAGACACCCTGGAAATGGGTCACAAGAGAGGGACGAACAGACAAAAGAAGTAGAGGAAAATGATGATAGTGAGGATGAGGAAAGAAAAAGCAGCAGTTCCCCCTGTATGCAGTTCAGGCACAATATGAGCATGACATCGATGAATCATCCCATTTACAATTCTACTGAGCATAAGAACGTGTTAATATCCCCCCCTTTGGGAATGGCCTAAAGACACTTCATTCAGTAGCACCGCCCCGCGGGGTGATCTCCGGGTCTCTGTGTGTCCCCGCGACAAGTTGGTGTGGTGACCCAGGGTGAACTGTCTGCCTACTGGTTGTTTGCTCTTTGCTGTTGACCATTCATTGCTATTGTTAGACAACATTGAATTTGAAGACTAATGCCGTGATATCAAGCATGATGGATCCTGTTGATTTTGAACAAAACATATTCTAAGTCCTTCATGCTGGTGTCAGGTTCTTGTCTTCCTCAGCGTCTGTGATAACTAGAGGTGGTCTGATGAGCTGCCATTTTATAATAATTTTTAACTTTTGAGTTCTTTAGTCTTATCAGAAGTTCAGCTGTAATTCAGTTACTTAGGATGTGTTGACTGCAGTTTATGTGACTCATTCTTAAGGATGGAATTGATTTCTCAAAGGACCTTTCTGTTTTTCTCCCCAGCTTCAAGACAAGGCCACTCTTTTGACAGCTGAAAGAAAAAAGGTAAAGTATTTTCCTGTCAAGTTGGGGCACTCGAACAGCTGTCTTCCCTATACCTAACGCATTTTAATTTTTTTGTCTCGTCTTTTTAAGTTGTTGGGTTTTTTTTGGGGTGGGTTGGGGTGAGACCTGGTGCTCTTTGAGTGGGTGGTTGACAGGTGTTCTGCTTGGTGTGATTTGTTTCTTTTTACATCCAACTTTTATCTACCTTATCTCTCCTTTTTTTCTCTTTGTATATTACTCTGTAGTAAAGCCTCTAATCGTCTGCATCTAAATGACTTATTTGTGTTGCAAATGCCACAAAACTCATACTAAATCTTGCTTTTAAAACTTTTTCTACTTTCTTCTTAGCCTGATACTTTGTAGTAAAGTAAGAGATATGATGTAGAAGGCCCTGTGGTGTGCCCATCCTATTCTTCTTTCATAAACTGGGTTTTTGGGGTCATTAATTGATTACTTTAGAATGTGGTCTGGGAGGGGTCGGTCTGTTATAGTGTTGAGAGAGGTTGTTTTTTT